TCCGGCTGTCCTAGACATGCGCTGTTAAGCGGGTTCGTTCCCGCCATTTTCAGCCATTTATAGCGGGTGAAAATTACACCAATTGCAAAATTTCATGAGAGATTATGACCCATCCTGAAACCCCAGCCGACATTTCCCAAACAAGTTTCGAACGGTTTCCATGGTAACGGAAATTGCTAAAAGGCCGCAAATTGCAGAACACCGTAGTCGCTAAGTATTCTATATTTAACCCTTTTAGCACGGGAAGTTTTTCAGAGGTCTAGCCAAAAACACGGAGCATTTTTTCAGTGAATTTGGTTATTACTTTATTTAATTTTTTTGACAGATTTCTGTTATTCTGACCCCTATGAAATAATATATCTATTTGAAGGATATAGATTGAAGTTCGTGATTTTCACAATATCGTTAAAATTAATTGATGTATATGCAAATTATCTCATTTGCATATCTAAAAACAGAAAATATGAATTTGAATTTTCAACTTCAATGCTTGAAACATAAAACTAAAAACAAAAATTTTTTTAATTTGAAATCTTTTTATTGATCTTTGGCCTTTTTACAAATGTTGTAAGCAATTCGATAGTCAAAAACAGGTATATATATGTGAAACAGCAATAATATCTTTAGGTGACATGTGTTTTTCACCATCAGTCAGCACTATAAATGGATGTGCCGGAGTGTCAACACCTTCGGGTGGATATACCCTGAGCCATGGTTGGTCTGTGGTCTGAACACAACAGTGTCCCCATGATTCCCACTATAACTACTAACACTAAATCCTGCATCAGTATCAACAGAATTAGTGTCAACACTTGATTCAAATGTTTTATCAACATCAAGTTTAGGGGCAGAAACATACGAGTCAGACATACTTTTAACGGTTCAGGTCACTATCTAAAAAATTCAACAACAATTTTCACTTCGATTCCAAACACTCGAAAGTCGCCATGTGTAAAGCTGATACCGCAGTTAATATAAATGAATCACTTTCAGTGTTTCAAAGTAGGAGATTTCTTAGCGGTTCGAGGCGAAACACGATCGGGCCGATCATCGGCCGTTCCGTGTTTTTGGCAAGACATCCGCCGGCCGATAATCGGCCCGTCCGTGCTAAGAGGGTTAAAATGCCCCCAACACCAATAAAACCAGCACAGTTGGATAGCTGTAAACAACCTCTTTCCAATGGTCCCTCATTTAGGCTTGTATGTCATTTCTGAGCTGAGATATGTAGGTTTCTGTGGAGATGAGATGTAAAAAAAAACAGCTGCTAAAACTTGTGCCTGAGAAACATTTGAAACAAGAAGTTTTCTCTGCGCAACCAAACTGCGCAACTTTCGTTTTGGCTTTGTTTTCATTGGACAAGATGGCAGACAGTTTTTCTCAGACACAGCCACATAATAGCGATTGTTTGAAAAATGTCACTGTAAATCTAAACAGCCACTGACAAGAAAGAAATTTTATACACAAATGTAAAATTGAACGGAGAATTCAATTATAACTATAATTTCCATGTCTGGTAATGTTTAGGGCCTAAAGCCAACTTTGAATACTTATCTTATCGCTTTTTTTTCAATCAAACTGATGTAACTGTAACAGAAAAACAGAGGACATCCGGCTGTCCTAGACATGCGCTGTTAAGCGGGTTCGTTCCCGCCATTTTCAGCCATTTATAGCGGGTGAAAATTACACCAATTGCAAAATTTCATGAGAGATTATGACCCATCCCGAAACCCCAGCCGACATTTCCCAAACAAGTTTCGAACGGTTTCCATGGTAACGGAAATTGCTAAAAGGCCGCAAATTGCAGAACACCGTAGTCGCTAAGTATTCTATATTTAACCCTTTTAGCACGGGAAGTTTTTCAGATGTCTAGCCAAAAACACGGAGCATTTTTTCAGTAAATTTGGTAATGTAATATTACTTTATTTTTTTTAGACACATTTCTGTTATTCTGACCCCTTTGAAATAATATATTTATTTGAAGGATATAGATTGTGGTTCATGATTTTTTTAACAATAACGTTAAAATAAATTTATGTGTGTGCAAATTATCTTATTTTTATATCTAAAAATAGAAAATTAGAATATGAATTTTCAACTTCAATGGCAATGAAACACATAACTAAAAACAAAAATATATTTATTTGAAATCTTTTTATTGATGGCCTTTTTACATTTATGTTTTTAAAAACAATAACAATAGTGGTGAATTCAATAGTCAAAAACAGGTATAGAAACAGCAATAACATCTTTAGGTGACATGTGTTTTGGACCAGTCAGCTCAAAAAATGGGTGTCAACATCTTCGAGTGGATATACCCTGAGCCATGGTTAGCTATGGTCTGATCAGCGTCCCCATCTGATTCCCCACTATCACTAACACTAGATCCTGCATCAGTATCAATAGAATTAGTGTCATCACTTGATTTAAATGTTTTATCAAGTTCAGGGGCAGAAACATGGTAAGTCAGACATGCTTTCAGCAGTTCAGGTCACTATCTAATAAAATTCAACAACAATTTTTACCTCGACACCGAACACTAGAAAGTTGCCATGTGTAAAGCTAATACACTATACAGCAGTGAATATAAAATAATCACTTTCGGTGTTTCAAAATTGGAGATTTCTTACGGTGTCGAGGCGAAACATGATCGGGCCGATGATCGGCCGTTCCGTGTTTTTGGCCAGACTGCCGACGCCCGATAATCGGTGCGTCTGTGCTAAGAGGGTTAAATTAAAGTAAGGAATAATTAAATTATTATTAAAAATAATATTCAATATGCAGTATGAATGGCAGAGAAGGAAATATATATTTATATATAATTATTAATATATTTATCGGCTATCCTCCGAATAATGGCCACATATTATGCGGCTAAAAACATGGCCTCAGTCACATGTAAATTGCACACTTCCGTTAACTATACAGCCACCGCCGAGAGTATCTCCCACGCCACTACGCGTGGCATGGATTGGGGCTAAACTAGATGGCTAGGACTCCTGAGCAAAGCTGCAGGGGATGCGGAAGCTGCTGCTTGAAAGTTCCAGCCATCTATTTTAGCCCCAATATACGCCGCACGTAGCAGCGTGGGAGATACTCTCGGCCTTGGCGGTAGTTGCAGGAAGTGTGCAATTTAAGTCACTGGAAGTCCGCAGTTTACATGTGACCGAGGCCTTGTTAGGGTGTTTTTGTGGCTGTTATTCAAAGGCTTCAATTATCGCGCGTAGCGGCATGGGAGATACTCTCAGCGGTGGCGGTAGTCGCAGGAAATCCGCAATTTACATGTGACTTAGGCGCTGTTAGGGTATATTTTTGGGCTCGAAAATTTGGGACCATTATTCGGAGGATAGCCCAAGTTTTTTAATGTTTACAACACACAACCTAATGAGGTCCTGTCAGGATATGTTTTTGGCCGCCATAATATGTGACCATTTTTCGGAGAATAGCCAATTTTTTTATTGCAATTAATTATGAATATATAAACGAAAACACTGTATATTGCGGATGTGATTATGATAAATATTAATAATATTATATGATATCAATTTATCTTGTGATATAAATATAGCCATTGTTGCACATCATCTTCAAGCAGTGGATCGTAAACACCCCCCCCCCCCCCCCCCCACGATGATGTTAAGGGTCACAAGTGGAAATTGAAATGATATGACATTCTGAAATCATGAATAATATGATTTTGATTTGGACATTGGATCCTGTGATTTAAATTTAAAATATCAGTCTGGCCTCGAACAAATATGTTTAGTAATAAAGTGGCCAGCCATTTACAGTCGTAGCAATCATATTTATACATCATATGGGGGGGGGGGGGGGGGGATATTACAAACGCTGTATACTGTATTGTACTATTAGTAATAGTTTTTGTGTGTGAATGGCAGAATAATAAATTTATATAATTTCAGAAAATTCAAATATATATAAATATAGAGTAAATGACCCCTTTTCACGCCTTTAGGCATATAGGGCTATGTGGTCAGCATCACACCGGCCGCTTTTACTTCCCTGGACTGCACCAGGTACCCACTCAAGGCTGGGTTGACCTGGAAGCCAAGGTGATTTTTGAAGAAAAAAAAACCCAGCTTCGCCTGGCTTCGAGCCCACGACCTTCTGATCCACAGCGAGTGTCTAGCCGCTCCGCAGTGGCGACTCCCTCATATATGCATATACTATTAATTTATAATTATATGCCTGTTTCTAACAAAACAGTTTGCATGGAATCTTGATTTGATTATATATGAATGAAAGTGTCTTTGAGGTAGCTGAAACGAGTACTAACAAATGTTTAAAGTATGGAGGCTAGATGCTTTTCTTTTAAACAGAGGATCTTGTGTTTGAATCTACAGAGTAGTAGATTAAATAAAAATTTGCCATGGTTCTCCTCCTGGTCCAACCTAAAAATGGGTATGGGGATTTGTGCAGAGAACTTGGAAGTAAATTTTTTTACTATAAACAGTCGGTGTGCTGTTAACGTTGACTGCTTTACCACATCATCCATTAATCAAATACCAGTTGGTTTATCTTCTTCTTCTTTGCGTTCACCAGCTGTAAACTCCGGCAGAAAGTTCTGGTTGTTCATCCACTTCTGGACTACAGTCCTGTTCAAGAACCTGAATGTTGTGTGTGCATCCATTTTACAGATCTGACGCATTTGTATGCAGACTGCTGGTTCCTTGCCTCTCAGGCAGATGCACTCCAACTTCAAAGGAAGTTCCCAATAAGTCGACTATTACGACATGCTTTTGAGTGGGTAGTTGGTTTATAAAAACAAGGATTTTGTTCTATATACATTGTGCATCACTAGCATGAAACATGTTCTTTAATTTTTTGGGGGGAATCTGTATCTGATTTAGGTTGAACAGGAATCTCATTGAGATGATTAGTAATTTTTGTAATCATGTATATTTTTGTTATCTGTTTGCAGAGGATCACGTTTGAATGCTTCTTGATCCAGCTGTCTGCTTGACAACATTTTGGAGATAGCAATGTCCGGTCGAGGGGGTAAAAGAAGACAGGTTCTTCAGCTAGGAAAAGCTAGTAAACTGCGTAAGTAGTTCTAATTTTATATCTATATTCACAAGATCACATTCTAACATTAATAACGTCACAACCAACCACTATTTTAGGCTTACCGCTCATGTTCTGAACAGTTATTTGTTTCTAGCCAGGGTTTGCTGATGCAGATTTGTATGTACAATGCCAGATGTCATATTTCGCTACCTGTATCAACAGTGAGCTGCCATTCTGGCGTGGGACTGTTAACATCTCACAGCTGCCTTATGCATTTACTTTGCATGTGCAAGCTTCAAGATTTTTCTGAGACTGACATGTTTTTCACTAGTTTTAAAGTGGCGCGGTGATTTATGTCACAGGCGTGAGGGGAAGTTAAGTCCAACATGATGTGTATAAGGAGATACTCCGTACGTCACTCGGGCGCCAGTCCTTCACTATCCTGGTTGTACGGAACCTCACGCAAGACCCCTGCAGCAGGTCCTCGTCGTGCGCCACGGATAATGTCTCAAATGAGCATTAACAGAGCTGTCAGGGGATCTCGGAGTTCGGCGGCCCCCAGAGGTGATGTGTCCTTGTGGCTCTCATCAGCCCGCCCCCAAACGCTTGGGTGAAAAATGTTATCAAAACTCATTAGGAACATGAGTAGGTTTGCCAAACGTACAGCCAAAATTACAACCCTAGGTTAAAAGACTGCGGAGTAAAGAGAACATTGTACACTGCACATCCTCTGTTAATCCTCAGTGCCGTCGTCACCGCGCTGAGGTACACCACAACAGCAACCATCCATAGGCTGGCTATCCTTGTACATCCTCGGTTAACCCTCAGTGTCGTCGTCACCGCGCTGAGGTACATCACAACAGCAACCATCCATAGGCTGGCCATTCATATACATCCTCGGTTAACCCTCAGTGCCGTCGTCACCGCGCTGAGGTACACCACAACAGCAACCATCCATCGGATGGCTAAGCCTAAATGTCCGAGAAAACTAGATCATACGGATCAAAATCTGACCATCAAAATTTGTATTGAACTGAAAAAGACCGAATGTCCACACCCAAAGACCCCACTCGCCCGAGTGTTGGGACAAAACTGATAACGATATGCCTGATGCAGGATGTAAAATTCTGTCGGGCTAACGGCTCGTCAAAGAAATCTAACGTGCGAAGGAAAAAAAAGAATGTACCTATCTGTGTGGTCACAAAAGTCCAAACCCCACGGGCTGCTCCCCTCTGACGTCCAGAGGGCGCAGCCCCTGTCGAGCGGGAGGCCTGATACGGTTGTGAGGTTAAGCAGGCATGTGCAGGACGTGACGATTCCTTGGGTAAGCCCAGAACCAGAGCGCCATGTGCCGGCTCTGCATGCATGGAAGCCTCCTTGGATGGCGGGGAATGCCCATGATCTGCCCCTGCCTTCCCTTGAGGGCTAACTGTTCCACAGGGGGCTGCCCCAAAGGGGTACTCCGGGGGCAATACCTGCGGAGAAGGAGACAAAGTGGACACCACAAATCAGGCGTCTCGACCCACACAAAACAATGGCAACAGTCACCCTAGAAATAGGCCTGACGTCTTCCTTCGAAGTCGGAGTACAGCTGCCCATGAGGCAGGGAAATGAAAAACGGTTGTACACGCAAAAATCAGGTCCAGGTGAAGGCCAAAAGTCCAAGCGGACGATTAACCGGGACCTTCCACTGGAATTCACAGCCGGTGATCGATATAAAAAAAAAAAAAAACTAGTTTTAAATTTTGTGTGATTTCCAGTGACATAGGAATGGACCAGTCATGGGGCAACCTGTCTGCAGTTAAATTGGAACCTCAGCTAACTAATGATTACAAAATGATAGCCTTAGTGGCTGATTCCCTTTTGTGTCTTGTCATGATGTAGTACAGGAGCTTGTATGTACATTCAGCTGTAACCCATAGAGCTGTGCAGAAGATAGTATAACTGCTGGTAGTCTGCAATGTCAGACAGGTCCAAGAATAGGGACCAAGTGAAGAGGGACACAACCCTGTTGCCGTGTAGGTAGACCTGGGTTAGTCAAAAGCTAGGGAAAGCTAACTAAAAAAAAAAAAAATTTGTGGTAGTTGGCTGCACTGAGCAACAGGTTTGGTTGGACCACGCAATCTTGCTCATTTCCTGATGTCGTAATGATGGAAATCTTGAGTTTTGATAATAAAGTCTGATAAATTGGTGTTGATGTCATCTTGAGCTCTGAAAATGGCTTTTGTCTGTCAGAGTGAGGGTAATGTAGAATTATGTCCTGACTTTTTATTAACCCTTTTATTCCCAAGGAGAGGGAAGTATCATATACACAGGGAATGTTTCTGAGTTCTCTCCTCTCTCCCCTCTCCTCCTCTGTCTTCATACTTTCTCTTTCTCTCTCTCTCTCTCTCTCTCTCTCTCTCTATCTCTCTCCCTCTCCAGGACTCAAGCTTCAGTCGCTAGAGAGGTATATCAGCCTGTCACAGGCCATGATTCTGCTGATAGATCAGCTAGTATAAGCCTAGGCTATTGTGATTTCTCCACTGGTTTTGGGTATTTAATTTTCAGCAAAGTCAAACCAAACCTAGAACCCAGGGAAATATCGTCATTGGCATCACCTTGTCCTTCCCTACTGCTCTTATATCCTCTCTTACTTTTGTTGCCTCTTTTAATCAAACTTCTTCCATTCTTACTTCCTCTCCTCTTACTTCTTCTCCTACTCTTACATTCTCCCCTAGTGTTTTTTTTTCCCCATTTTTTCTTGATGCTGCTTTATCCTCTCCTTGTTTCTCAATTATAAGCCTTGATTGAATAATTAATCTCAACACGTGAAGTTTAATGATTACCTTTTTATTGTCCCATCTTTAGATCATTATGGTTACAGCAAGGGGTTTCATACCACTGAAAAGAAAGGTAAATCAAAATTTCTTTATGTTTATGTATGATGTTAATCAGTGATCATATTGTTATAAAATTGTAACATAATTACAGTTTATTGTTTAACCTAGCAAAAGAAACAGAAACAAAATAAATAATAGAGTGCATTGCAAAACTGAATCGCCCGGCTTCAGTACCCATTGTGCCGAAGAACATTTCAAGACTGGCCTTATTAGCCATCTATATACTCATTATTTCGTCTCTACCAATAGCAGGTGAAATAAGAGAGGCGTTTCGTCAACATCACTTGTGATGGCCTAACAATATGTTTGCATGATGGTCCCCATGGGCTGCGTTTAAGTTGTTGGAAAATAGAATTAACATGTGGAATCTGTATACATTTGAGAAAATTGGATTAACGGCTTGATGCAACAAATTTTTTTAACAAAGTTATGAGTGACCGGACAAGTGGATGGTGAGCTGGGCTTTTCTGTCGTAGACCTAGATTTGAGCTGCGATAAGGGATAGGATATATTTTTTTTCTGTCACAGGCAAAAATAAAAATTCAAATTTGCACAGTACGTGACAACTGGTTTTGCTACCTTCAATGTTCATGCCTCCCCCCAAATGGTAGAGGCAGAAAAGGTCAGACCTTTTAAAAAAAAATGGCAGCAAAAAGAAAATTGTTAAATGGAGTTCTGATTCAACTAATGACATTTTTTTAGACACGCGAGTCATAATTTCTTACAGAACTTACAAAAGTTTCTCTTGCAAGAAAGACCAACCTGAAAACCACAAGCAACTCTAATGATTTAAGACAAGCAACTCTAATGGTTTAAGACCAGAGACCTAAAAAAATTATGAACATAAGAAAGAGATTGTCATAAGAAATATTTCATATGCATCCCTGCTGTATCATATGCCTGCCAGTGTCCTTGTTGTGATTGTTATTATTGCTATGCAGGAAAGGGCAGTCTTCCAGTGTTGGTGGGTAACTATTCAAATTCTGACTCAGAAGACAGCGAGGAGGCAGAAGAACACATAGCTACAGATGCGAACGAGGAGGAAGAAATTCTGGCTTTGGGTAGGGCTTTCAATGCTTGTTAGTATTATTATTTTGTTGCTCTGGATGCTTTACCAGCTCCTGAGTTTTTAGAAGTTTTTGTGATTCATGACAAGTATGTAGAAATAGTTTGCCATTTCAGCCCAAGAAACTTAAATCACATTGCTTTTTGTTGTCATACATTCCCTGTAATTCCTGACATGGGTAAACCCAAAAGCGTTTTTAAATGTCATTGGTTCTGTTTGGGCCTGTGCAGATATTTACAAGTTAGAGGTCACCGCAACACGACAAAAGCCACACAGTATATGTTTAGGGCCACGTGAAATGCATTTTTTATTCTGTTTCATGCTTCACTCTGTTCGTGTTTATTGATTACTTCCTTGATTTTACTTCCTTACTTTATGTATTTTGACATTTTTTTTTAAATATAGATAAATAAATTGTAAAAAAATGCCCTGTGTGAAATGATTGTGTATGTGTAAAAAAAAACAACAATTTCAGAAATTTCCACAGGTTTTTTGCTCTTTGCGTTCCATGGACGAAAGGGTTAAGTTTGAATATTTTTTGCTGTCAGAATTAACATCAGTTGTTTGAGGAAAATGTTCTTAATGATTGTTATGACCATACATTTTCTAGAACACATTAAATGTTCTATTCAGGTTAACAAAGGACCCTTTTCCAAGCCATGACATATAGAAGGAATATGTTGCTAACCCTGTATTGCCATAGACCAATCAGCATTTGATGGGTGATATAGTCAGTATCTTGCCTGCTGTCTTATAATCGCATAACACTTTGTGGCACTAATTGCTATATTCACCTGACCCAAGTTCAGGTTAGAACAGCTGACCAAGGTGCCGGTGAGTGTCAACACTCCCTGGCACACTTGATGACCAGGCTGGCAGGCGGAAAGGATCCCTTTCATGCCTTTTCCACATCTGGTAGGGCTAAACCAGTCAGCACTCAGGGTGTGGTGTGGTCAGCTTATGTTTGATGCCTTTACTTCCCAGGACATTACCTGGTATAGGGCTAAACCAGTCAGCACTCAGGGTGTGGTGTTGTCAGCTCATGCTGGCTTCCTTTACTTCCCATGACCTGGTACCTATTTTAGGCTGGGTTTGAGCCAAGGTCAGTTTTTGAAAGAAATCCAAATCTATGTGGATGCGAACTTGAGACTTTTGAGTCAGCAGAGGAGCATCTAATTACTGTGCTATCAAACAGCCTTTACCTGGGTCATTCTTACAGTGGCAACCCTGGGTATGTCGTGATAGATATAGACCAGTCGGCACTCGATGGGTGATATTGTGAATCTCTCATTGGCCACTCTTATCTCCCAAAACTTTTCCTATAGTGGCATGTAAGAATGGGCAGTGTGCCTGTGCTGTTTGTAGAATGTCCAATAAACTGACCATTTGAATCTTTCTCAGATACTACTGATGCTTCAATCAAGACCGAACAACCTGCAGACATGGATGATGAGTTGAAGAACTTTCTCTCTGTAAGTCTGTAACTGTTTTCAAGTTTGATTCTCCCTCTGGTTGTTTTGATGTTTCCCCATATAGTTCCTTTGCCATGTGGCTTTCAGAAGATTTTTGCAGGTTGAAATTTGCATCAAATGCAGAATATCATCACTAACCACAGTAAAAAAAAAAAAAATGAATTCTTTAAAGACATCACTGTGTGTAAAAACATATTGTGCTGCATGTTTAAATATCGAACCAGATTTCTTAATATGCTTATACCAAGTTTCACACAGCAATAATAAGTTTTTTTTGCCCAGTGTGTTTCTGATCCAGTGCTAGACTGCTGCCTTTATTTCTTGTTTCTTCTCTTCTTTCTTTTATCTAAATCTGCTGTGTGTCGCAGGGATGATGGGTATTTGAAAGCTAAAGAAAGCCCGGCGCACTTGCTAAGTTGCTTAAACCAGCTCCACGGCGAACGGGTGACAAACTCCGTGTGGTCCGAGTTCACGATCTGGGGTAGGCAGAAAAGCCACATATTTCCCAGATTTATGGTATATGTCATGGAATCAAGGCCGAAGGATTGCGATATCCATATTACTGAACCAAAGTGTTTACAACTCATGGTTTCTGGATAAAGTGCTAAAGGTTAAAGAATACTTGGTTGATTGGTGTCAGTCTAGTGTGAATATAGGAAAAAGCAGGTGACAGTAGTGAAGATCCATGTCTGTACTTAGCGACAGCAGTTTGGCTGATAGCTCAGCGACAGGTAGAGATCAGTCTCACGACTCACAGAAGGCCATGACTGTGATTGTTGATGTAGCCCTGAGGACTGCATGGACTGAGGACTGAGCTGTTGGAGTGAAACACAACTGAAAGGACAGCGAGACTATCTGGGAGTTGGTTCCAGAACTTGTGACTAGTTTTGATCGTTAATAGAAAAGCATGTATAGATTAACTGTAGTGACGGTTAGCTCGTGTATTAGTGTGTTAAGCTGGAGAGTAGCATTAGTTTGTGTGTTGTACAGCGTTTGACAGAGTTAGTATCTTGGGTAGCATTTCACTTTGGTAGCTTGTTGGCATTGCAGTTACACTGTTAGCAAGGGTGTGGTAGTATTTAGTGATCTGATCTATCCTCGAACATTTTGGCCTGCACTCTGCAGCCGCTCCACGGTCTCAGTGTGGAGCCCATTGGCAGAGGAAAGAGCTTGGATCAAAAGCCGGTTGGGTTGAACTAGGTAGGATCTGTAGAATGGGATGTTCCGTTGGAGTAAGAGCGATTGTAAAGTCCTCATGGCCTTTGTTTGGGATCAGGGTTGCCCACTGCTCTTGAAGCGAACTGTATGCTGTTCTATACATTACAGATTGGTTTATGTGCTCTGTAAGTGTTTGGCTTAGTATGTTTAGAGGTAGACAGTCTGTCTTGGGCCTACACAGCAAGCCTTATACCATCATGGCAGTAAACTAGGTCTCTGACACTTAGTGTGTTGTGAAATAGTCAAATCTTCGTTCTTGTGTCAAATTATTTATTCAGTTTTCTAATTAGTTTTAGATGTTATATGTCCTCTGATTTCTTTATTGTCATGTACTGTTTCAAACAGTGCTACTAGTTCTGTTCTGATGCCTTGTTGTTATCTCTAGGAAATTGAAGCCATACCTGCCGTACCAGAGACGGATAGTAGTGAACAACCACCTGTCCCCATGGAAGATATCAAGCCAGAGCCAGACAAGGCTGTGGAGGCAGATTTTGAAGTCAAGAGCCCTGCTGAACCTGTCCAGGATACTCAGAATCCAGTGCCAAAAACCAGACAGAGCAGTCATCATTACTCCATGTTTGTGAAAGGAGAATCAGAATTTGTACACAGCCCAAAGCCAGAAACTGAGGATGTGAAAAGTCCAGCAGTGGCCAAAGAAGAAGATATTCCAGATGGTAATGATTTCTTTTGTAATCTCCTATTTGAACACAAATTGTGAAGATAGTTGTATAGTAGTTAATACCATGTGTCAGATTTTAATTTTATAAATGATACTGACTTTGCTGCATGAAATATGATTTAACATATCTTCCTCTTAAGTGATAATTTGCGATGCATTTATTTTTGCATGGGTCACAAACTGAACAGTGCACTTAAAGTCTTCACCAGTGCCCCATAGTTTGTCTTTCAGGATTGCCAGCTGTGGGCACACCCCCCCCCCCCCCCCCCTCTCCCATCCCTGTCTGAAAGTATAGGCGGTCTTGTAAGACATACATGTCAAATTAGACCCTTGTATACTTTGTTACATTCATATAGTGCTTTTTTTTTTCTGCATCTTGGTGAATTAGTTTGTTTTACACTCTGGAGATTAAAGTTGGGTCACGTGTGTAAGTGTTTTTGGAAATCCATGGGGATTATGGAATTAAATGTTTGCAGGGTACTCACTGAGTAAACGACGGCCCTCAGAGGCACATTGAGCCATATTCAATAATATCTTATACAGTGAAATCATTTCTTTCACCTACTTTTTAACTTTCAAAATGCCTTCTGGGTTTATGAACTAAACACTCATGCCACTGTAAAAAAAAAAGGGGAAAGGGGGGGGGGGGGGAAGGGGGATCTGTTGTCCCCATTTTTTTTTGAAGAAAAAAAGTTGTCTTATTGCCCCTTAACAGGTTTATCATAAAAGGTGACTAAATAGGGATTTTTTGGAAATTGGATGTCTTGAACCGGAAGGGGCAGATATCACAGCCTAGTTGTAAGCCACAACACAGCAAACCAACCACCCTTAAAGACAGAATGAAGAACATTTATTGTGACCTTCTAATAGCATGAGTGGATGTTTATCAATTTGGTTGTAATAAAAAAATTAAATGTTGTTTTTTTTTGTTGTTGTGTAGAACCCACTACAAACTGGCAGATGGTGAAAGATGAAAACACACACTACTACTATTACTGGAATACCGTAACTAATGAGGTCACATGGGAGATCCCTACTGAGTACACACAGTATCTTCTGCTGCATCGAGAGTATGAGGAGAAGGTTGCCAAGTACTCACCAGAGCAGCTGCAGAAATTGAAAGAGAAACATTCCATGTAAGTCTTCGATGTTTTATGTATATATATATATATATATTTTTGTGTGTGTCTGGTTTTAATGGATTCTCCACATTGACATTCTAGTCAGTGGTGAAATGTGGAAAAATGCAAGTTAGTCAGTTCTCATTGTGCCTAGTGGCACATGAGGCTTCAGAGAGGACTTTCCATGCTTTCCTGTCCTGTGCAATCTTCAGTGCAGTTTTCCATGTCAAAGATGCCACACTCAGGTCACTTTCCATCGTTCTTCTCCATGTTGTTTTTGGGCGCCCCTGTTTTCTCTTTCCCTCTGGTGTCCATGTGAGAGCTGTTTTGGCAGGTTTTTCAGGATTCATTCTCTTAATGTGGCCAAGCCATTTCCATCTTCTCTTGGTTATATTGTCTAAAGTTTCTTGGTTTGTGACTTAGTAGTTTAGCGTTTGAGATTGTGCAAGTTGCTTACACTAAAAATCCTGGAATGTTTTAAAATTATACAATAGCTACAGCCCAGGAAAAAATATATAAAAGCATCTAAATATCACACAGTGCTCACAGATTGTAGGGAATTTGATTCTCCTAAAAAACTTCCCCTGCAGTTGCTAAATGTCACATAAATCAGTGTGGTGCTCGAACCATTGTTTTCAAATATAACAGCTAGTTTTAACTAAAAGACATATGTTACTTATACTGAGTGCATCGTTTACTTTGTACTAACTACTCATGCATCTACATGGCAACCTTTTATTAGCTGTCATGTAGTCTATATTTACTATACAGATCCATTACTGTGTGCTCAGCATATCCATTACTTTGTACTCAGTGTATTTGTTACTTTGTGCTGATCCGTTAATTATATTGCAGCATATCCATTACTTTGTACTTTATTTATTTATAACTGTGCTAAGTCTCTGATTATAGTGGAGCATACTGTTTACATAAGTACATCCTTGATGTTTACCACAGAAAAATACATACTTTATTTATATTACCCTGACTTTCACTTCTGTAATGGTGTATTTCCTTCTCATGTGGGTTACTGGGTTCTATTTTGGGAGGGGGGGGGATAATGAATAGACCCACTGACCCACTAGGAAATATATTATTAAAGGTGACTAAATTTTCTTTGAAGTTTGAGTGATCTCCCTGAGAGGTGAGGAACCAACAGTCGACACAGATGTTCTTGCAAAACTCAGGTTTTGGATTTCGACCAAAGTCCAGAAGTGGACAAACAGCCAGAACTTTCTGCTGGAGTTTACATAGGATGAACTTGAAGGAGAAGGAGATCGCTACGTTATTGATCACATTCACTTGTGTTTTTGTTGAGGGGGAAATGCATGTTACAGTATTGTCTGTCATTATGTAGATGAAAGTAACTGGAAGATTCTATTTTCTTTTCTCTTTATGGTGTTTCAGGGCAGCAGCCAATGATTCTGGTGATGCAGTGACTCGTTTAGTTCACCCCAAGCATGGGGATAAATCCACAGACTTCTCCAAAGTGGTGGATGGCAGGTTGTCCAAAGTAACAGCAGAACGTCCTGATGGAACTGTGAGGGACACCACACGTTCCAGAAGTGTTTCGCCTCGCCCAGAGGCAGGGCAGGATTCTAGGCATCACAGGCAGAAGAAGGAGAAAAAGAGTCACCACAAGAAGAAACACAAACACAGGCACAGCGATTCACAGTCTGACGAGGACAGACCCTCCCCAAAAGTCCCACAATCCAAAAAGCCACCTGTGTTATCAGAAACCTCGACAGTAACCCTTCTTGCTGGAAGCAGGCTGACCAGCATTGTCCCATATTTGTCTGACCAGGATGATAGTGATGAAGACAACAATATGGATCCTGTGCCTCTTCTGGGATCAGTCGCTGTAATTGATTCCCAAGACAAAGTACATGGTGGAACCCCCTCTAGTGAACAGTCTATAAGTGAAGATCCTCCACAGCTTGACCTCTCTTCTACAGCTTCACATGGCTTACAAAATGTGACTGCAGAAGTTTCATTACAGTTTGGAAAAGCGCAGGCATCAGCAAATACAGCTTTATCTTCATTAATCTTGTCACCGCTACCACCACCACCTCCTCCAGAGGAAGAAGTAGCAGTAGTAAAAGACCAAACTGAAGAGGAAGATTCTAATCTCAAGAAAAATACATCACAGATACTTGATGAACCTGAAACAGATTCAACTACAAATCTACCTGATCACCAGTCTGACACAGATTCAGACAGACAGATGATAGATTCAGCAAGTCTTGCTGTTGCATCTCACTTTGCTGAAGTTGAGATTAATGAAATTATGAAGGCTATAGTGGATCCACAAGTTGAGATTAATGAAATTATGAAGGCTGTAGTGGATCCAGAAGATGAGATTAATGAAATTATGAAGGCTATAGTGGATCCAGTTTTGGCAACACGGGCAGCAGATGACACTCAAACTCCTGCTGGAACAAAATCAGACTCCACAGTTGATGTTGCACAGCCTGTGAAGGAACCCGTGAAGATTCGACATAAAGAAGTGATTGACATGTTCGCTGAAGATTTTCCCATGCCACTGTCTATTCAGATAAAAGATGTTGCTTCCATAGATAAAGGCACTGTTGTCCTAGATGACCAAGTCAGAAAGGGTCTGGAGACTTCAGCGGAGGTGATGGATGATGCAGAGATGTTGGAGAAGGACACTCAGATGCTCAGAACAGGGCAAGAAGCTTCCCTCGCAACACCAGTAAATGGCTCCGATAAGAAGAGCAGAACACAGGAAAACATTTTGGAAAAGAAAAGCAAGACACAGGAAAACACTTTTGAAAAGGAAAGTAAGATGGCAATTAGTTTGGAAAAAGAAGGTAAGACATCAGAAAGCAGGGTGGAGAAGAGAAGTAAGACACAAGAAAGCAGTGTGGAAAAGAGTCACATAGTGCAGGAAGATAGCTTAGAGAAGAAAAACCAGCCTCAGGATAACAGCTTGGAAAAGAGCAAAAGCAAGTCTCAACAAAACGCTGCAGAAAGTAGCAAAACACTGGACAAAAGTGGAAGCAGGACACAGGAAAACAGCTCAGAGAAGATTAGAAACAAGACACACAAAAACAGCTCTGAAAAGGTTAGAAGTAAGACACATGAAAACATTTCCGAAAAAAGAAGTACAACCCATGAAAACAGCTCTGGAAAGGTTAGAGACAAGATGCAGGAAAATAGCTCTGAAAAAAGTAGAAGTAGGACACAGGAAAACAGCTCTGAAAAGGCTAGAGATAAGACACAGGAAAAAAGCTCTGAAAAAATCAGAAGTAAGACACAGGAAAACAGTTCCGGAAAGATTAGAAACAAAACGCATGAAAACAGGTCTGAAAAAAGCAGGCACAAACAAGATAGCAAATCTGAGAAGATTAGAAGCACGCCACAAGAAAGTAGGTCAGAGAAAAGCAAAAAGAAAATACTTGAAAATCGCTCAGAAAACAAAAGTAGTCTGGTAGAGCAGGCATCACTGAAAAGTGTCAACATTGTAGGATATGCCAGTGATGAAGAAGAAGAAGAAGGTGAAGTTAGAGAGACAGTGGTTAGTAAAGCTGACAAACCAACACATATAAAACAGAGGGAAAACAAGAAAGAGTCAAAGAAACACAGGATAGTCTCTAAAACAGCAATGTCTAGTTCCTCTGATATATACAAGACAGACTCTAAAACACCTTTGTCTAGTTCATCATCTGATAAGAAATTTGGTCCAGAGTTGGTGTCTAGGGTTCCTGTTTCACTTACTGAGGTCATGTCTGAGGCAACATTCGACCAGGTGGTGGAGATACCCGAAAAGGTCTGTGATGATGATATTGACTTTGATATCGATGATATTGACCGGGCATTGGAGTTGGCCCTGGAGAAGAAACTGGAGAAAAAGAAGGTAAGAGATTTTGTAAGAACTGTTATTCTGGATAATATGTTTTCTGGATATGTTCCCAAACATAGACCTTTACTACAACTAATGATCAGAAGACCGATGAGATATTTTTAAGAGCTGCTAGGGTAACAAAGGAAACGATTAAAAATAAAATTAGACGAAGACTGGAATTGAAAGAAGTCATACAGTTTATCAACCCTTTGGCCCTGGGGCACCTAGTTAATGATGTTGGTTCTTTTTGCACCTGCACAGTATTTAGGAACTGCAGATAGGATTACATTTCCAAAAAAATAGCATTTGAGGGAGATTTTATTTCCTGGTTTTGTGGGATTTTACTTGAAAGGATATTTTGAACAAAAGGTTTAAAGAGCAACAGATAAAATGGTTTGGCACCTCACACAAATACCCTGGTATCAGCAACTACCAGGCGTCCAGACAAGCAAACTTTAAAATGTTATTTAGCCATGTATCATTGCAGAACTAACCACAACATTGTTTTGACTATTTGTGATTTCACTAGCCTCTTTTATGTTCAGTAGTTTGCCATTGCTTTCTTAACAGGCAGCTCTCAATACCTCTATTAAAACCAATGCAAAGCAGTCTGCTACCAAATCGCACGCAGCATGATCAAACCCCGGAATTAAAAAGTGTGCTTGCATCACCTAATCCACTGGCACGAGATTAGTTTAGCAGCTATCTTGGTAGTAAGGAGTTAAATATGTTCGTTACCGTCTGAACTTTGTGGTTTTAAATATAACTTGGTAGAATTGTCTTCCACAGATTCAGCTTCAGTCAATGACCGACAACAGTGAGATAAAAGTCAAAGGTGAAATAGTAGGCACAGGGACTTCAGGAGAACTGATAAGTGGTCATATACTTTCCAGCTCGCCTAGTACCCAGATCAAGTGTCCGGAGAATGGTTGTAAGTGTGTCTGTATGTTCTAGTCAGCTGGCTTATAATTGAATTCTCATGTTTCTTATGGAGCTCAAAATAAGTGGGGGGGGGGGGGCGAGACAGACCAAGAATATATTTTTTAATGTGCACACATAGTTTACTTAAAATTTAAAGATGTCATGAAAAAATATAATACCAAACAAAAAGTAGACCAGCTTCACAGTATAACAGACACAAAACAGAAGTGAATATTGCTGCTAAAACCGCATGTACAGACATGAATACAAAGAATAAAACAGTAATATTAAACAGTACAGACAAGGGTGACGGGCACAAACTCGTATTCACAAATTTAAAGAGAAGACAGATAACTGTAGAATTACATGATGGGAAACCTGACAACCTACGCCAGTGTTGAAATACTTGGTGGTGACCAGTGCTGAAATACTTGATGGTGGTAGCAGTGTTAAAATACTTGATGGTGGTAAACAGTGTTAAAATACTAGATGGTGGTAAACAGTGTTAAAATACTTGATGGTGGTAATCAGTGTTAAAATACTTGATGGTGGTAAACAGTGTTGAAATACTTGATGGTGGTGACTAGTGCTGAAAAACTTGATGGTGGTGACCAGTGCTGAAATACTTGATGGTGGTGACTAGTGCTACATAAAATACTTGATGGTGGTGACTAGTGCTAAAATACTTGATGGTGGTAAACAGTGTTAAAATACTTGATGGTGGTGACCAGTGTTAAAATACTTGATGGTGGTGACCAGTGCTGAAATATTTGATGGTGTTGACCAGTGCTGAAATACTAGATGGTGGTGACTAGTGCTAAAATACTTGATGGTGGTAAGTACACTTGTGAGTGACAACACTCGATGAACAGTGCTGAAATACTTGAATATGGTGGCTACTGATGGTGGCTAGTGCTAAATACTTGATGGTGGTGGCCAGTACTGAAATACAGTGCTAAAATACTTGATGGTGGTGACCAGTGCTGAAATACTTGATGGTGGTGACCAGTGCTGAAATACTTGATGGTGGTGACCAGTGCTGAAATACTTGATGGTGGTGACCAGTGCTGAAATACTTGATAGTGGTGATCAGTGCTGAAATATTTTATGGTGATGACCAGTGCTGAAATACTTCATGGTGATGACTAGAGCTGAAATACTTGATGGTGGTGACCAGTGCTGAAAAACTTGATGATGGTGACCAGTGCTGAAATACTTGATGGTGATGACCAGGGCTGAAATACTTGATGGTGATGACCAGTGCTGAAATACTTGATGGTGATGACCAGTGCTGAAATACTTGATGGTGGTGACCAGTGCTGAAATACTTGATGGTGGTGGCCAGTACTGAAATACTTGATGGTGGTGACCAGTGCTGAAATACTTGATGATGGTGGCCAGTGCTGAAATACTTGATGGTGGTGGCCAGTACTGAAATACTTGATGGTGATGAGCATATTTTCTGATCTTTACTTGTCTCTTTAAGGAATCTGATCTTTCCCTCACACATATTCCTACAAATACTCTAACAACAGAAATGTTTCCAGTTGTTTAAAATGACCAGATGTGTAGTTACCTGCTTGTCGATCAATCAGTCATCATCACGCTGAAGGTTGGCGGTAATTCATCTACAAAATTCTCGGTCTCTCACTCATGTTGTATGCTCTTTTATACCACTGTTCATCTGTCGCTTGCTATTATCCTCCCACTTGTATCACTGTCTTTAACTCTTGCTTGCCTACTTTTTTCCCCCTCTCGTGTTGAATGTAAATTGATTGTAAAAAAACGCTGTCAGTATCTATGGCAGGTTTAGAGACAAGTGATGTACCCAAAAGTGTTGCTGATCCGGTGAAAAAAGTTGCCCATGGTGGCTGAGATAGAAGACATTTCCCATTGTGAGGATGAGAAACTTGTGGTGAGTTATGAAAGTGATTTATTCCCATGATGTGGACTGTACGGTTGTGTGTTGAGATGTGTAGTTGTGTGCTTTATGGTTATAATATGTGTACCTGTATGATATTGTGTCATTGCTTTTTGTACTTAGTCATATTTTGTATTGTGTTGGTTTATGTTGTACAGTCATCATTTTTGGAATATGTAAGATTAGACAGCGAAGGATTGTTCCCAGGTATTCTCTACCGTGATTTCATTCCTGAAGGCCAAACAGATATCAAGTAAATATACATTGATATCCTTTTTCATCTAAGAGATGCAGTCAGAAGATAACACCCTGAAAAATGGAGAACAAACAATTGGTTTCTGCTGCATGACAATGCGCCATCACATCGATTGCAACCAGGGAGGGAGTACATCGCAACGCAAAATGTTGTTACGCTGGAATTTTCTCCATATTCTTCCGACCCGGCACCGGTGGATATTTTTCCTGTTTCCTCACCTAAAATTGGCACTGGTAGGGCAGCGATTCATAAATGCTGAGGACATTATTGCCTTTGCGACAGAACAACTGAAATAAGTGTTGAAGAATGAGTTCCAGGAATGTTTCTCACAACTGAATGAACCTTGGCAGGAGTGTGTAGTTGGCAAAAGGGAACTGTTTTTTGAAGAAAATGTAGTTTAAATAATTGCATTGTTTTTAAAAAAATGACTTTGGCTCTTAGGTCGACCTAGCCTTGAGTGGGTACCTGATGCAGTCCCTGGAAGTAGAGGCGGCCGGCGTGATGCTGACCGCATCTTGTGCTGATTGGTCTATAAAAATATAGGTCTAGCCCTATATGCCCTATACATCTAAAGGAGTGGAAACGGGACCTTTTTTTAATTGCATTTGTTACATATTTATAGTCACTACGCAAATTCCTGGAACTTTTTGAAGCCACCTCCTGAATGTATATACATGCACACACACATATAAAGGAATTTTATATATATATATTTAGTTTAGTTTATATAACTTAGTTTATTATATTTCATTATAGCGAGCATTCTTTGTACTTTCAGGCTGACATAAGAAATATGGCTGAGTTGGCCTTGAGCAAGCTGGAGTTCCTAGATATATCCACAGATAATCTGTCTCGGCTGCAAGTGTTGTTCATTGAGCTACAGGTAACTACTTGACTAACAGGTCAAAGATAAAGTTGCAGGTGGCTTGTATCATGTGGCTTGATGAATGTCAAATTATACCTGTTGAAAATGTAAACGATCAGGTTGTTGTGTCTAGCTTTCTTTCTTTGTGTCCACTTTACCTATTCAGGTATCTCTAAAAACTTTGATCATCTTCTTCTTCAGCATTCTGAACCCTTGAGATTCGTTGCTGCAGATACCACCCACCTTTATTCATCTCTCTGATCCAATTTTGAGGCTCAGATGTCTGCTTTGTGATGAAATAGGGTTTTTACAAAGATAGGGCTGCTGACCCCCCCCCCCCCCCCCCCCCCCGCCTTACTGGAGGACCAGGATGTCTCTTTTTGTTCCCTGTGACCTGTCCAGCTTGAAGACGCGGCTCTTAGCTATCCTACTGCTGACATAGCTCAGGGTCGTTGAGAAATACAAACATGCCCTACCACAGCAAGATGGAAACATCTTTCAGGGAGTTCTCCGTGCATACACTGTCTAAATCTCATGTAAAGATATCAGATAGATCACAAACGACAAATGAACATTATCACATATTACAAATGACAAATGAACATTATCACATATCACACATGGCAAATGAACATTATCACATATCACATATTACAAATGAACATTATCACATTTCGCAAACGACAAGTGAACTGTTAGATAAATATAGCAATTCTCGAGGGACTCACAGACTCTGTCATTGGAGTGGCTAGACTTGATGTGGTGGTCCTGAGAAATACAAAAAATTGGCACTAGTTTGAAGACACTGTTCTGCACATCAGAAAGATTTTGCCTGAACCTGTCAGCTAGTGGTACCCCTGTCAAATCTGTTCTAAGTGACACAGGGTGTTATCCTTGCATTCTTCTACCCACCTTGGAGCATAGGCCCTCAAGTACTCATGTCTTAACTATCCCCTGCAACTCCCTTTTAGGCCTTCTACGTATTATTTATAATAAGTTTTGATTCTCTTGTCTCTTCTTTTGTTTTGTGGGAGCCAGTGATCAGAAACTATTTTATATGGTTGTGTTGGGTGTTCAGGGTATTGTGTGTTACAGTAATTGTCTTATTAGCCGCACCTGTGTTGTTTCTGACAAAGATTATTATTATTGAAACATTGGACTCAATTTAGATATATTGTAAAGTGACAAAAGACAGTCTTACAGGTGCACTTATACGATTTGGCGTGGTGCCAGCCATTTGGCATATTTAACCTACATATAATTATTTTTGGTGAAAAATAATTTTAAGGTGCTTTATTAACATCCTACACCAAATGGAAAATCCACAGGTCGCCTGACAGTCTAATATTTCAGGGGGGAGCGGTAGATAGGCTGCATGCAATCGTGGGACCTGGGCTGCACTCTCTCGTGGGACGTAGGAGGGTTGGGGTTAGGGCCAGTTCTTTATGTTTTGGGGTCGTTAAAATATCAGAAAGCTGGAAAACCCAGTCTTACCACCCTCTAAAATGTTGGACTATCATGTGAAGTCATCTGGGGTAGGATATTAATAAAGAACCATTTTTAATTCACTTTCCTCATATTTTTCCTCATTCCTCCTTAAGTTTGATGTTATTTACCTGATCTGCAATTTTGTTCGCCTGGTCAGAGATTCTTGTAGGGCATGCACTTGTCTTTTTTTTTTTAAATTTCTGTTTCTCCGCATGATCTTAACATACCTTTCTGTTACATGTTCTCTTGCCACAGACTAGGTTCACAGACTGGACAGCGGGCGGCCTTTCCACCCAGTACTTCCATGAACAGCTAAAGACAGCCGAGCAGCTGCTGGAACAGTATGAACTCAACGCCGTGCCAGAAGGATGGGCTTGCCAATGGGACAGGTACGCAGCCCTAGACTTTCCTTCGCTCTCAGACAATCGCATGTATGGACCTGGCATAGATGTTACTGAAAATGACCTTTTGAAACGTGTTAATCCGTTCCTTGTTATTTCCTTGAATAAGTCATCACATTTTCAAGTGAATATTATTCCAAGCAACTCATTTATAAAACTCCAGAGTTCTCCAACAACTAACACCTTGTTATATTCGCTGATTATAATGTGAAGTAGTTATACATTACTTAATCTTAGGTCAGTGATGGTGATACTGTGTCTGGTATCATTTTCAAACATCTGGGGCTCGCATTAGTCGATATGTGCACCCATTACTGTCTTTGGGAAAGTTACTTGGTAAGGCATGGTTTGAGTCTCGTACTAGTGTTAGAAATCCACATGAACTGTCTAAACAGGATTAGTTAAATTGTTGACTTCATATCCCAGAATAAATCGTATGTGTCCCTTGAAAGGCCTACATTGATAATGTTACTCAATAAATTTTTAACTGCAGACACAAAATTAACTCAGTTCCTGTAAATTCCACCAATTAAACATTAATTTTGTGTTTTTTGGTGTTGAAATAATTTGACAGCTGATAAATTGATCCTTTAAATATTGAGAGCTGTCGGCAGTTGTTCCTGAGAGAGTTCCCTTAAATTATGACAGTGAGATGTGTAACTTGTATCTACAAGAACTCTGATTCAAGCTCCCGGAAAAGTAAATCCTGTTTTCTGTAAAAGATAAAAAATTTAATATATGTACAAAGTAGGATTGGAAAGTTCAGACATTAAAGTTAAAAATACTGCGGCTGTAATTTCTCTAGAGGTTTCTGTTATTCGAATGCTAGGTCCAATTTTAAAGATTAGCATAGATTTCAGTTTAGCTAAAGTTGCCGGTCCATCATGCATTACTTTTCAAGGCAGATTAAGTTTTGTGTGTTTCACTGTGATTGTGTTGTGAACATTTGTAACGAACAAAACTCTGGAGCCGTACTATGATCATAAACACATGCTCAGGCTTGCCTGGATGGTGTGCTGGCTGTCAACTCATTGAGCCTGGCTTCACAACGTATTTTGTTGAATCATCATGTTTGCTTAAGTCCAGCCTCTAAACCTCATGGAAGGAGAAAATCATTCTCATAAAGTAAGTGCCTTAAAATTATTATTTGCTGTTCTTTTTGTTCTTTTATGTTTTTAAAAAAACATGTTTGCTTGTTTTTTTCTTTCTTGTCCTGAACTCAGTCAATTTCTGTTACAATTTTTTAACTTAAACATGCATTAGCTTTAGTGAATAGTTTAACTCACTCTGACTCAGACTTTGTTTAACCTGACCTGGCACAGACTTTCTTTTAACTCATTGTGTTCCAGTCAATTTATGATTGTCATTTGTTCAAGCCCTGTTGAGTGTTTTCTAACTGTAAGCTGTCTCTGTGTTACTTAGACCCTCAAGGAAACCAAAATATTGAAATAATGCAGCTTACCAGGCAGAGGATAAGAGGCGACTGGAGGATATAGTCCTGGGGTTGGCCGCCCTGATCTGTACAAAGTTTAGGCTGCAAAAGCCAACACCTGGACAAGTCAAAAAGGGAAGCAAGAATTTACTCAGCCAGTCAAGATATGTATCAAGAGTTGTAGGAAATAGCAAAAAATTGGCCAGCCTGGCATGAGTTGTTTCAGGGCCTGTGCTCCAGTGGGGGCTAAATGACAGAAAAACAACCTTCAGTAATTATAAAAAGGAAGTGATGCCCTGCCCTGGAAATATGGAACAGACGGAGAAAAGTATGTTATATTTTACAAAAGCCTTTTTTGTTTATTCATGTGCTTTGGCTGGCTGGCTGGCTGTCTGTCATTGTGCTTGTTCATCTTGTCTGTCTGTCTCAATGTATGTGTGTGTGTCTCTCTCTGTTGGACTGTGTCTTCTTGCATTTTAGCTCTCTTAAAAGTCTTCCTGCCTTAGTCTACTTTTTTTTAAACACACACAACCCCCCCCCCCCTCTCCCCCATTTTTATCTTTCTCTCTCTCTCTCTAGAACTATTTAGTCATGTCTCTGCTCTTGTCTACTAAAGGAGTGGTACCTGTTCATTTCTCGGCTGAGCCGGAATTACTTTCCCCACATCAGTACATCTATAGGGTAGTCCAAACCTTTTGAAAACTGGTACTAGAAAATGCAATATTTGCCATGAACTGCCTTTGACTTCCATGTATCTGTATTAATATTTTGTGTGTGTGCCTCCCAACTACCTCCCCCTTCCACCATTTCTCTCACTTTCAGTCAACTCTGACTCCTCTGTGTTTCATTTCTACTCACTTTTTTCATTTTCTCTTTATGGTCTTTTCTCTTATTCTTATTTTCTTTCAGCAGTCTTCCTTTCCTCATTCCCTCATTTACTGATGGCAATCTTCTCTTCATTTCTCTTTTTCTTTCTGTGCACTCTATCCCCCTTCCCTCCATTGTTTCTTTCTTCTCTCCCTTAGAAACTCTTCTGTTGCCTCCTCTCCTGTCATTCTGCCCCTTCTTTTCTCATTCTTACCTCTCTCTTGTTACCCTCCCTGACAAACTCCCTCTGTCATCTACTCCCTCCCTCTCTGCCTCGTCTCGAACCACATATAACTATATTTATAACGAGTGAATACATTTGATTGAGGCTAATCATTGTTCCTAACCAAGGTTTCCAGACCTGCTGTTTTTCAGGTGACAGACGAGCCGTCATGTCACATGTTTCCTACACCAGCTGGTTTAGACTCTGACCTGGAGAAGTTAGGAGAAGGGAGACCATGTTAGGCGCCACATTTTTCTCACTTTCAGTCATTTTTTTTTTTTAATTTAAAATAAAGCTCATGCTGAATTATTTGTATTTATTACAGTAAAATAATTGTGTTCAATGATTTGTTTTGTGGGTTGTCCATTGTCTTGTTGGTTTTGCAAGTTTTGTTACAGCCTGTTAAAATGGCATGTTGGTGAATATAAGGTTCTGCTGATTTGATTCTAATTATAGGATATGTCTGTAAGAATATCTGTATTTTAGAAGTGTAGTTTTGGGAAAAGTTGCAAAGTTAAAATTGTTTGGTTTGCACCAAATGATAGGTAACCTGCATAAATTTTCAGTTTCATAAAAAAAATGTATACATTGCGGCCATTAGAAACATGAAATTATTATCAACACAGCAGATGTTGTAGTTTACTTGAATGGAACCGCATGTCCTATTTCTGGCTTCAGCGGATGATAAAATGAATAATATTTGTATAGTGTAAATGTCAAACTTCAGCCATTACTTGTTGATTATTATCTATATCAACATCCTGGCATTTCTGTCCGACCCGTTCGTGCTCTGTCCTCCAGTGCAGCAGCCCTCTGAGTGTCTTCATGCTCAATGTACCCAGTAGGGGTTGACTGGCAGATCTACTTTTTTGTCTCACAACCAGTTCCTGCATGCTTATCCTTGTCTAATACCTGTTTCCCCACAGATGGTTCTTTTATTGCTGATTCTTCATTTCAACATCTCGGAATTCAGCACATTCGGTATGACAGCCATGTCCATACTTCTTCCTCCATCAACCACTGCAGATATGGCCAGTCTGTCAGCTCTTTTCTTGCTCCCCGTCATATCCTGGTGTGTACTGCAAAGGTATTTCTTGAGGCAGGACTTCTTGATCCCATTAACCCATTCTGTTGGAGTTTGCCAGTTTGGATCTTCTTAAGCATGCTTATTGAGTAAACGTCAACTATTGCTTGGTGCCACACACACACACAAAATTACAGTGCAGCTACCAATCTTGAACATCTCATCTGGTTGTTTGATGCAAGCCAGATAATTTTTTTTTAGAACCGTCTAGTGATATTATTATACATTTAGTGTAAATCATTTTTTTGTATACAGCTGTTCATATTTTAACGGCATTTTTTAAAACAAGTGTCTAAATTTCAAACCATAAATTTTAATTTTATAAATACAAAAACTGACTTTTACATTTTGTTTAAGTGGTATAGCTTGTTTCATGTGTTCATTTCATAAAAGCAAATGTTTGGCTCAGTTTAATATTTGTTGGTGAGGTTATTTCATTGGTGTATGAAATTTGTTGTTAGTGAAGTTCTGTTATGGGTATATGTAAGTTAAGTTCTACCATTGGTTTGTGATTTTGAGGTTCTGTCATTGATATTGGTGAGGTTCTGTTGTAGATATATGATGTTAGTGAGGTTCTGTTGTAGGTAGATGATGTTAGTGAGGTTCTGTTGTAGCTATATGATGTTGATGAGTTTTTGTTTTGTTGCTGTGTGATGCTGGTGTGGTTCTTTCTTTGTTCTATGATGTTGATGAGGTTCTGTTGTTGTAGGTATGTGCAGGCGAGGTTTTTGTTGCTGTGTAATGTTGTTGAGGTTCTGTTGTAGGTAGATGATGTTAGTGAGGTTCTCTTATAGGTAGATGATGTTAGTGATGTTCTGTTGTAGGTAAATGATGTTAGTGAGGTTCTGTTGTAGGTATATGATGTTAGTGAGGTTCTGTTGTAGGTAGATGATGTTAGTGAGGTTCTGTTGTAGGTAGATGATGTTAGTGAGGTTCTGTTGTAGGTAAATGATGTTAGTGAGGTTCTGTTGTAGGTAGATGATGTTAGTGAGGTTCTGTTGTAGGTAAATGATGTTAGTGAGGTTCTGTAGTAGGTATATGATGTTAGTGAGGTTCTGTTGTAGGTAGATGATGTTAGTGAGGTTCTGTTGTAGGTAAATGATGTTAGTGAGGTTCTGTTGTAGGTAAATGATGTTAGTGAGGTTCTGTTGTAGGTATATGATGTTAGTGAGGTTCTGTTGTAGGTATATGATGTTAGTGAGGTTCTGTTGTAGGTAGATGATGTTAGTGAGGTTCTGTTGTAGGTAGATGATGTTAGTGAGGTTCTGTTGTAGGTAAATGATGTTAGTGAGGTTCTGTTGTAGGTAGATGATGTTAGTGAGGTTCTGTTGTAGGTAAATGATGTTAGTGAGGTTCTGTAGTAGGTATATGATGTTAGTGAGGTTCTGTTGTAGGTAGATGATGTTAGTGATGTTCTGTTGTAGGTAAATGATGTTAGTGAGGTTCTGTTGTAGGTAAATGATGTTAGTGAGGTTCTGTTGTAGGTATATGATGTTAGTGAAGTTCTGTTGTAGGTAGATGATGTTAGTGAGGTTCTCTTGTAGGTATATGATGTTAGTGAGGTTCTGTTGTAGGTAAATGATGTTAGTGAGGTTCTGTTGTAGGTAGATGATGTTAGTGAGGTTCTGTTGTAGGTAAAAGATGTTAGTGAGGTTCTGTTAAAGGTAGATGATGTTAGTGAGGTTCTGTTGTAGGTAGATGATGTTAGTGAGGTTCTGTTGTAGGTAAATGATGTTAGTGAGGTTCTATTGTAGGTAAATGATGTTAGTGAGGTTCTGTTGTAGGTAAATGATGTTAGTGAGGTTCTGTTGTAGGTAGATGATGTTAGTAAGTTTCTGTTGTAGGTAAATGATGTTAGTGAGGTTCTGTTGTAGGTAGATGATGTTAGTGAGATTCTGTTTTAGGTATATGATGTTAGTGAGGTTCTGTTGTAGGTAGATGATGTTAGTGAGGTTCTCTTGTAGGTATATGATGTTAGTGAGGTTCTGTTGTAGGTAAATGATGTTAGTGAGGTTCTGTTGTAGGTAGATGATGTTAGTGAGGTTCTGTTGTAGGTAGATGATGTTAGTGAGGTTCTGTTGTAGGTAAATGATGTTAGTGAGGTTCTGTTGTAGGTAGATGATGTTAGTGAGGTTCTGTTGTAGGTAAATGATGTTAGTGAGGTTCTGTTGTAGGTATATGATGTTAGTGAGGTTCTGTTGTAAGTAGATGATGTTAGTGAGGTTCTGTTGTAGGTAAATTATGTTAGTGAGGTTCTGTTGTAGGTAAATGATGTTAGTGAGGTTCTGTTGTAGGTATATGATGTTAGTGAGGTTCTGTTGTAGGTATATGATGTTAGTGAGGTTCTGTTGTAGGTAGATGATGTTAGTGAGGTTCTGTTGTAGGTAAAAGATGTTAGTGAGGTTCTGTTGTAGGTAGATGATGTTAGTGAGGTTCTGTTGTAGGTAAAAGATGTTAGTGAGGTTCTGTTGTAGGTAGGTAGATGATGTTAGTGAGGCTCTGTTGTAGATAAAAGATGTTAGTGAGGTTCTGTTGTAGGTAGGTAGATGATGTTAGTGAGGTTCTGTTGTAGGTAGATGATGTTAGTGAGGTTCTCTTGTAGGTAGATGATGTTAGTGAGGTTCTGTTGTAGGTAAATGATGTTAGTGAGGTTCTGTTGTAGGTAAATGATGTTAGTGAGGTTCAGTTGTAGGTATGTGATGTTAGTGAGGTTCTGTTGTAGGTAGATGATGTTAGTGAGATTCTGTTTTAGGTATATGATGTTAGTGAGGTTCTGTTGTAGGTATATGATGTTAGTGAGGTTCTGTTGTAGGTATATGATGTTGGTGAGGTTCTGTTGTAGGTACATGATGTTAGTGAGGTTCTGTTGTAGGTATATGATGTTGAGGCTCTCTTGTAGACGTATGATGTTGATTAGGTTCTGTTGTATGTATATGATGTTGGTTAAGTTATACTAGGAGGGGCATGTGATGTTTAATGTCTGCACTGTTTGTTTGTTTGCAGTATTAGCATCTGAGGTAAAGATTATCCACTTGTTAATGTTGGATATGGTCGGTTTTCTTATTTGTACATAATGTTGAACTAGGACTGTAGGTAATGTTGGACTAGGGCTGCTTTAGAAAATGTTGGATCAGTGTGAGGTTTTTTTAGATACTGTTAGAACTTAACGTTTTTATAATGCCATTGTCGGGCAAATTCTGCTGATGTATGTCGCAGTAAGCTGGTGGATCTTGTATTGTGTGCTCCATGTTTTCATAGCTGTTTTGTTTTGTTAAGAATAACTCAGTTGCACAACAGGATGTTTTTTCTGCCATTTATCATCTAGTCCTCAGTAGCAGCATGGATTTTATTGTTTAGGTTTGTTCAGTTTTTTTCTCTAGTCTGGTTTAAGTTTTTTTAATTCTTTTTTTGTTTTGTTTTGTGTCTGTCTGTTAGATTGTGTCTGATTTGATTGAGTCTGGTTGTAAGTTTTAAGTCCTTGCGAAGATTGATGTTTGGATCCTGTGTGTTTGACTGGTGTTTTGTGAATGTGTTTGAAATCCACGGCTGCTGATTCTTTCAGTTTTCTAAACATATGATTTGGGCAGAGAGTAACCTGTTTGCTTTCTTTCCCTGTTTCCTTGGATAGGTCCAACAACCGATACTACTACCGCAACAAGGTGACAAATAGCATTCAGTGGGAGTATCCAGAGGTGGACAGCAAGGGAGATGTTGAAGCTGCAGAACCCCCTGCTGAGAATAGTGATGAGTCAACAAGCAGGGTTCGTGACAGAGGCTTAGATGATCATAACAGATCTAGGAGCACTGGTAGTAGCCGACACCGGAGGAGGGAAGATAAAGACAAAAGTAAGTGAAGTGTTAACAGTTTCTTCTTCTTTGTATTGTAGTTTACAGTTAGGCTGCTATATCTGCACCTTCTGTTCGGTCACATCCTTTCCTTGTATTGGTTCAGGGGCCTGTTTATGCGGGGTGGGGGATAGAAACAGTGTGCTCTTTTAACAGGTATGTCGTAAAATTGGACTAATTAGGGAGTCTTTCCCTTCGAAGTGGAAGAGCATATGCCAGAGAGGCGAGCAACCAGCAGTCTGCATACAAAGCCAGATCTGTAAAATGGATGTGCATGCAAAACTGGAGTTCTGGAAGAGGACTTTTAAGTTCAAAAGTGAATGAACAACCGAAGTTTACAGCCAGTGAACGCAAACGAAGAAGAGCTCATCTCTGATTAGTTGCCTTTCACAACATGCTTGATGGGGAGGGGGGGGGGGGGGGGGCACTGGGTCTGTTCTTTTCTTCACCAAATGTGGGACCTCAGAAGCTCCATAAATTGTAAACATACTGAGATGTCTATTCAACGGATCAACATCACGGCACACGGGTGTAACCCATAAGTGCTCCGTTCTACTTCTAACTCAAGCCTGAGTCCGAAGAATCTCAGCGCAGTGTACAAAATCCTTTGCACCGACAAAGATCCTGAAATACTTTAGGTAGATTTTTAACTCCGAAATTACACATCCCACCCCAAATGGTACAAAATAATATAACATAACCCTTGACCCACTAGGGTCGTGGAGGTGTATTGATAAAAGCACTAGCACATAAAACCCACCATCTTTCTGTCTTCCGCTTGATGGATAAGTGTATGATAACTTAGTCCTGTCCATTTCTTGATGTTGTCATTCCAGATTCTTTTGTCCTCTTCTTTGACTAGTCCCAGTGTTCCTTAAAGTAGTCTTGGCAATTGAATCATATCAAACAACGTGCCCAAACCAAGCTAGCTTGCGACGTTTCACCACTGCCAAGAGAAGCTCCTGTAAAAAGCCCCTTTCCCTAACTTTCAGGCTGTTGGGTATATAGGTCTAGACCCATATTGTATAGTAAATCAGCCAACAGGCATAATTTTTTTGTTTTAACCTTTAAGGACTTAACCTGGTACCATTTAAGGTTGGGTTGATCTAGGAGTCATTTAAGGCTAGGTTGACCTGGGAGTCATTTAAGGCTAGGTTGACCTATATTTAAGGCTAGGTTGACCTGGGAGTCATTTAAGGCTAGGTTGACCTATATTTAAGGCTAGGTTGACCTGGGAGTCATTTAAGGCTAGGTTGACCTGGGAGTCATTTAAGGCTAGGTTGACCTATATTTAAGGCTAGGTTGACCTGGGAGTCATTTAAGGCTAGGTTAACCTATATTTAAGGCTAGGTTGATCTATATTTAAGGCTAGGTTGACCTAGGAGCCATTTAAGTGGGTTGACCTTGGACCCATTTAAGGTTGGGATGACCTGGAAGCCAAGGTAATTTTTTAAGAAGTCAGGAGGTCGTTATTGGAAGCTAACTATGGTCTAATATTGCAGGCAAATATGAGAAGCATGGCAGTTCCCGCCACTCCCACCGAAAACGGCGGCGAGGCAGGGACCACAGCAACAGCAGCTACAGCAGCAGTGAAAGCCAGCAGTACCGCCGCCACCGCAAGAGCAAGAAGAAGAAGAAACATCGGGCCGAGAGATCCCCCAGTGTAGAGATAGTGGAACACACAGATTACAATCTTGATGGAGTGGAAATCATTGAAGCGGTAGGTCTTTATCTCCTTTTGTGTTTCTTTTGTGGTTTTATTTATTTATTTTTTTAATTCTGGGGTGGTATTTGCGATGTGTTTATTAACAGCTGCTCAGACAGTGGTCTAGGCTCAGTCTTCAGAAGTGGCCGGATTCTCCAGAACTAATAAAAACTAAATTGGTTTGTTATCTTAAAATATACAGCCACAACTACTACCAACACAGGTGCTACATCTGAAAAGATCTGGCATGAAAGCAGGAGGGCGCCCTTAGAGAGGTTGAATGATGACATGTAATACTATCCACATTCTCACAGAATGACAGTAGCCACTGATGCCTATTGAGCATTCAAATGGAAATGGTTCCTTCCCAATTTCCAAGACACTTATTTGCGAAAATGGAAATTGATTAAGGGGTCACTACGCAAAAAAAATTTTTTTTTTTCACTTCACGGAGTTAAAGCAATTATGTTATAATGGTCATTTGAAGGGATGCATGTTATTACATTTGAATACTTTAAGTGTGAAAAAATCATGGTTGTCATGGCAATAGCCGCCATCTTGGGGGGGGGGGGGGGGGAACATGTTTTTAGAATCCTAAAATTTCAAAAACAAACATACATATTAAACAATTGATGATAGATTCATGACCTTTTATCCCATTTAGAGGTACAGGTGTAGTTTATTTACTTTTAACATGTTTTAAAATATTTTTCATAGAATTTTAAATTGTAGGTTTATTGGAAAAGTTAAAAAAAAATCTTGCATCATAAGACAATCATCAAATTTTAAAAACAAAAACTTTATAAAATCTACTTTTAAAAAGACCAGTCCCTATAATATTGTTTAATGAGTATCCGTACTAAATTTAATGTTTTTAGTCTTTCTATTAGCTGAGATTTTAGGATTTCACACACACAACAAACAGAAATATAGAGATGTGAAAAAACTTACTTTTAAAGTTGTTTTTTTATCTTTAAAAAGTGCATGGGTTGGTGCCTTTAGTATTAACTTTTCAAAGCTAAATTGTTTACAAATGACATAAATTTTGTGTGTAATCTATTCTACGAATGCTGAAGTTTTTTTTACAAAACGAACACATTGAAAAAGTGATATTTTTATCATAAATTGGAAAAAATGCCGTGTGGTGACCCTTTAAAGGATAATGATGATGAATAAAACTGACTTGACCTGGCATACAAATGGACACTAGATAATTTCTACAATTTTCTGTAAGGGGGACTGACCATCCCACCTCCTATGGCATGACCTAGAATGTGTGAACTCCCACCAGTCCACACTCCAACAGGAGTTAGGATCTGTTGGGGACTGTTGATGTGTCTTTATCCATTACCAGTGGATCTGAGGCTATTGATTTGTCTTCATAGATGGATAATTGGATCTAGGGCTATTGATTTGTCTTCATAGATGGACAGTTGGATCCAGGGCTGTTGATTTGTCTTCATAGAGGGAAAATTGGATCCAGGGCTGTTGATTTGTCTTCGTGGATAATTGGACCCAGGGCTGTTGATTTGTCTTCATAGATGGATAATTGGATCCAGGGCTGTTGATTTGTCTTCATAGATGGATAATTGGATCCAGGGCTGTTGATTTGTCTTTATTCATAGATAACAATGGATCCACATGGTCTGTGGACGTTAAAGCAAAAGCATTTGTAATATACTAACTATAAAAATTACATATTTTATTTATTCTAGCATACATGTGGCATTACAAAGCATTTTCCTTCTGTTTATCTTGTTTTCATTGTTTTCCTAAAGTCTTTACCTGAACTCAAACATAATCAAATTATTGCTCACCTGAGATGCCCATGATATTTATCTCCTCAGCCGGTGGAATCTGCCACAGTTGTCACACCGCTGTCTGCAATGCCTTCTCCCAGCAGGGCTGTGCTGCCAGCCAGCCCATCAGCAAGTCCAGTGGATGCTTCCACTACTGGTCATCGCAACAGTGCTGTAGCTACAGAAGAGTGTCCGGCTACAGCTGCGCAAGTACTTGATGCAGATCTGGATGGATTTCCACTTCAGTCTGGGGAAGAAGATATGGCTTGTGATCAGGACCTTCCCGAGGTGGCCCATGTTGACAGCAGTGCCCCGGAGGAAGTAGCCGAAGTGACCAATCCAGCCGTTATCTCCAAACCTCCTCAAATAATTATCAACCCTCACCTGGTAACGACTTTGAACGTAAGTGTACACAGTTGATACCGTTTTACACAATCTATACAATTTTACAGTCTATGCAGCTTTACGCTGCAGTCAATACAGCTTTACACTGGCTTTACAGTCTTTACAAATGTACAGATATTTACAGCTTTATAGTCTGTAGAATTTTACAGTCTTTATAGCATTAGAGTCTTTACAACTTTTCATTTTTACTGTCTGCTCAGCTTTACAATTGATACCACTTGACAGCTTTAGTCTTTACAACTCTACAAAGTCTTTACAACCTTACAGTCTTTACATATTTACAGTTTGTACAACTTTACACAGTCTGTGATGATTGGCACCTTTCTGTCTTTCCAGAAGATAGTGTTATATTGCACTAAGAGGAGGCCTAGGACTCAAAGCCTGTGCCGATGGGGTGTTACAATTTTACAGTCTATTCAACTTGACAGTTTATACAACTTTACAATCTATACATTTTTACACAGTCTGTACAATTTTATCTAAACAGCTTTACAGTCTTTACAACTTTACAGTCCATACAACTTTATCACAGTCTGTACAACTGTGCAGTCTTTACAAATTTACATTGGTGTATGTTTCAATAACTTTATTTAGGTTAAACAGCTTTACTGGCTTTATATAACTGTTTGAGGTATTATGTAACTACAGTGTACAACTTTACATGGTTGATATAACTTTACAAGATTCACACAGCTTTACATGATTTATACATGCTTTATTATTTACATGCTGTATGCAGTTTACTCGGATGTACATTTTACATATTTTTTACCAGATTTTATTTAGTTAAGTTTCAAGAGCTGACATAATGGGTTTGCACAGCTTTACAATTGTTTTCTATGTCACTTAATGAACATAAGTGTGTCAGATTTCAAATATAAGTTCATAATGTTTGAAACCTGATGCAGTATTTTGTTATTTTTGGTCTTATCCAGTGGCAGTATCTTTTCCTCACCTCTAACTTTGCTTGAATTTGTTCAGTTTTCTTCACATTCATGATTCTGTCTAACCATTGTTTCCCTTCTTTTCTGGGTCGCCAGCAGTTAGTGAATGATTACTGTCTTTTAGCAATTGTTTTAGTTCTCTATATTATTGATCCATACAACAATTCATATTTGACATTTAGAGTTCAATATTATTAACTTTCGTACTTGCATTTCCTTATAATTTTCAGTTATGCGAAAGTGCTTTTGTTAACTTATTTTTTATATATCTTTCTGTTTCCTCATCCTTTTCTACATCATTGTTCAAATAAATGCATGATTTCACTCCTTAAAGGAGTAGTTGATCATTTGCTTGATTTATTCCATTATCTTTGTCATCCCCCTATTAACCCACATATTTTTAGGCATAGTTGTTCATCGGATTTTGTGTCATAGACGGGAGTATACATTTTATATGCTGCATTTGAATTCTGTGATGCTATGATGGGACCATATGTGTATGTGTTTTTTCTCTACAGCCGGACACCCATCTGATGGCTGAATTTTACTCTACCAATCAGATGGTTGCACCACCTCAAGCTTCATTCAACCCATTATTCCCTGTAGCCCCGCCTTTAGAACATGCTCCGCCCACAGCAGAGGTGGCCACAGAATCCAGTGAGGCATCTTTAGAGGCTGCAAAAAAGAAGAAGAAAGACAAGGTAAGAAGCTTATCACGATATGCGTTAGGGAACAGTCAGGCTACCATAGGGAACAGTCAAGCTACATTAGGAAACAGTCAAAGCTACATTAGGGAACAGTTAAGCTACATTAGGGGAACAGTCAAGCTACATTAGGGGAACAGTCAAGCTACATTAGGGGAACAGTCAAGCTACATTAGGGGAACAGTCAAGCTACATTAGGGAAACAGTCAAGCTACATTAAGGGAAGTCAAGCTACATTAGGGGAATAGTCAAGCTACATTAGGGGAACAGTCAAGCCACATTAGGGGAACAGTCGAGCCACATTAGGAAAGAGTCAAGCCACATTAGGGAACAGTCAAGCTACATTAGGGAACAGTCAAGCTACATTAGGGGAACAGTCAAGCTACATTAGGGAACAGTCAAGCTACATTAGGGAACAGTCAAGCTGCATTAGGGAACAGTCAAGCTGCATTAGGGGAACAGTCAAGCTACATTAGGGAAACAGTCACGCTACATTAGGGGAACAGTCAAGCTACATTAGGGAACAGTCAAGCTACATTAAGGGAACAGTCAAGCTATATTAGGGGAACAGTCAAGCTACATTAGGGGAACAGTCAAGCTACCATAGGAAACAGTTAAGCTACATTAGGGAACAGTCAAGCTACATTAGGGGAACAGTCAAGCTACATTAGGGGAACAGTCAAGCTACATTAGGGGAACAGTCAAGCTACATTAGGGGAACAGTCAAGCTACATAAGGGGAACAGTCAAGCTACATTAGGGGAACAGTCAAGCTACATTAGGGGAACAGTCAAGCTACATTAGGGGAACAGTCAAGCTACCATAGGGAACAGTCAAGCTACATAACAGAACAGTCAAGCTACATTAGGGGAACAGTCAAGCTACCATAGGGAACAGTCAAGCTACATAACAGAACAGTCAAGCTACATTAGGGAACAGTCAAGCTACATTAGGGAACAGTCAAGCTACATTAGGGGTACACTCAAGCTATATTAGGGAACAGTTAAGCTACATTAGAGGAACAGTCACGCTACTATATGAATCAATCACTTAAATTACTTTTGCATATAAATTGTGAAGCTGGTACAACTTCTGACCACTATATTGATTCTTCTCCATTTATGATGTAGCAAAAAATCTTAAATCTCTTTCTTATCTACTATTATACGACCTGGGCTCATGGTTTGTTGTATCCTGTGTGATTGTTTGAATATCATGGATGGAATCCAGTCCAGTAGCTTTGGCCTTTCTCATTCATGTCTGTCTTATGGTTTCCTTTGTTTGGACCCATAGTGCGGCCGTTCCAAAAACAATTTTAGTGTTTACCTTTGAGCCAGAAAATCTGGTCACTGGCTTCCATAAATCTGCTTTCCTCAGTAACCGTCATACCTGCACGCATGTGGAAACTAGTGAAAAACATCGAGCATAAAGAGACTGATGTTTTTAAAGACTAATCAGCACTCAGTTGCTCATAAGGTTAGTTTCACACCGGCCACCTTTACTTCCCAGGGCATTACCTGGCACCCATTTTAGGTTGGGTCCTCCTGGGAGCTAAGGTCAGTTTTGAAAAAAACCTGATATGGTTTTGATCACTTGATGTTCGGGTTGGTAGCTGAATATCCAGCTACTGTGCCACCGCAGCTTCCAAAAAGATCAGAGGCCTAATATAAGATTTGTCTGTGATGTAGTAAGACATCAAGAAAATTATGTTTTTTTTTTGAACTGCCAGGAAAGCTTGTGATGTGTGGTACTAGGGAACTTAATACCCAACATAGTTTGATCTAATAGTTTTGAGTTATGACCCCTGCCACTCGCTGATTTTTCTAGCTGGTATTTATTTCCGGTGGTCATACACGTCAGATGTTCAGCTGGCCAGACAGAGATGCCAGAGGTAAGTAAAAAAGTAAAGGACCCTTTCCACGCCTTTAGGCGTATAGGGCATATAGGGCTAGACCTATATTTTTATAGACCAACGGCACAAGATGGGTGATGTGGTCAGCATCACGCCGGCCGCCTCTACTTCCCGGGATTGCACCCGGTACCCACTCAAGGCTGGGTCGACCTGGGAGCCAAGGTCATTTTTGAAGAAAAGTCCGTCTCCACCAGGGAGCGAACCCATGACCTTCCGATTCGCGGCGAGCGTCTAGCCGCTCGGCCACGGCGACTCCCGATGCCAGAGGGACTTCAATTAAATGTTAATGATTTTGTGTATTGTTTATGTTTGTGGTATATTGTATATTTATGTGATGTGCTGATTAAAGTTTTTTAGCCACAACACTCACTTGTCGTTTGTCAAATGTGAAGCTGACTGGTTCTGCTTCTTGTTTGGTTTGATATCTTTACATGATACTGAGTTTGACACATTTTATGATCATCTGTTTCAGAAAAGCCTGGCAACTGGCTCTAGTATCATGATGAAGAAGAAGCACATGTCGTCCATGGTGCAGAAGTGGCAGAAGGTCAAGGTCGAGGTGGAGAAGGAAGATCGAGCCAAAGAGCTGCGACAAGCAGCCATCAGACGGAAGATAGAAGAATTAAAAAATGTTGATAAACAGGAGAAACAGTCGTAGGGGCGTGTACATATGTAGAAAACATAAACAGAGGAAGGAAAAATATCAGTAAATCTTTGAAAAAATTTATAGGATTGTATGCAAAGTTAAAGTACTGAACCATTTTTACACCAATAGTGCATGGACATTTGATGCCACAGTAACCTTTTATTGGCGGTCGGCACTTGATGGAGGATGTGGTTGGCACTTGATGGAGGATGTGGTCGGCATCGTGTCAGCCGCTATTCATTCTCAGGATATAACCTGGTGCCCGTTTTAGAGTGGGTCGGCCTCAGAACCAGGGTTAGTTTTGAATACAAATCAGACTCAGTATGAATTCGTACCTGTGACCTTTGGGTCTGCAGACGAGCCTCTAGCCACTATGCCACCACAACTTTTTGGTTAGTGAATCAGAGGACCAGTCTCCTTACTTAGAGATATCTATAACCCCTTGTTTTCTAGAACAGTGAGTACATGATGAGTGATGTTGTCAGTACCACACTGGCCGCCTTTACCTCTTGGTACATTTTCACTTTTATGTTATATCAACATTGTCTGCTTGTAGAAGAAAACAGAACTGGCTGGAAAGTCAGTGTTCACGTAAGAGACATTTATGAAAGTTTCTTTTATTTATATATATATGTGTGTGTGTGTGTTTGTACGAGCATGTGTAGAAGTTTCTGATATGTACATAAACATTTCTAAAAGGTTTATATATATATATATATATATAAATATATATATATATATATATATATATATATAAATAGAGAGAGAGAGAGAGAGAGGGCGGGGGCATTTCTGACAGCTTCCTCTGAAGAAGTTAGTTTAGGTGGGGGGAGGGGGGGTATACTGACTGAATTCAGCATAAATAATGTTTACAGCTTCAGAATGCAGACGTATTGAATAAAAACTGAATATCAATTTATTTTTGGGAAGAATGTTTAGATTTTATCTTAGAAAACAGATGGTTTGGAAGATACAGTAAACTTCAGAAGGCTGTGATTTGGAAAGAAATAGTATTTAGAATTTCCAAATGTTGATCTTTGTTAAAATTTAGAAAACATGCATGTTTTAGAAGACGTATGCAACTTTAGAAAGCTGTTTTACTTTAAAACGTTGATATTGTGTTCTTGTGAAGAATGTAAGAAATTTCAGAAAGCTGATATGTGATTGGGAAGAATGTATAAAAGTTCAGAATGAGTGCAAGTGTACTTTTGAGGATAATCAGCAAACAGCTTTTGTGAAGAATACATGGAACTGGTGGGACAAACATTTTGGAATGCATTTTTTGTGTGTGTGGCCAGTTTGGATGTAAATGTAAAATTTTGTTGATGTGAATTGAACTTGATTAAAAATATTTAAAGACTCAGTTTTCAGCATGAAGTATGAGAAAGGATGAAAGCTACAGTTGTATGATATTCTGTCACTCTGGTGGTTGAATCAAGTAGAACAGTGTGGGTTCTGGGGGAGATACCTCGTGGGTTCTGGGGAGACCACAGACCCACTGCTCCCTAACAAGCATGTCATAAAGCAACTTATTAGGAGTGTTTCCTTTGAAGCTGGTGTGCATCTGCCTGAGAAGCAAGGAACCAACAGTCTGCATACAATTACACTAGATCTGTAAAATAGGTTGAGTTGAGTCGAGATAGACATCGCAGCACTTAGGACATTCCAATGCAATCTCCGTCCTCATTTTCAGCAGCTAGCGCAGAGTTTAACAGGGTTCGTAGAGGACCTGGAAACGTGAATTTAACCTGGAAATTGTGGCCCTGACCTGGAATTTGACCTTGAAAAAAGACATACTGACCTTAATAAACTTGGAATTTTGACCATGGCGATGGTAGAATTGAAGTAAAACAAACTATCATTGGAAAACTTGCGATTTTTGGCTGTTTTCGGCTACCTTCGTTTTAAATGTTTACCATTTCCGGTATAAGGGCAATTGATTATCAGCTGTTTTTACCTGAAATGACTTGTTAAGGGCTAGGGAAGGGCGGGCTGTGTTGGAGCCCATGGATACAAGCAGATAGCAGTGCATGTCATTGGAGGGAGGGAGAAGGAAGGAAGCAGCGGCTGGCCTTGTGTGCTGTGTGGGTATTTGTTTCTAGAAACAAGGATTACATTGGGAGATGGTGGGGCTAAGCAAAGTGAAGTCAACTAGATTTCACAGTTCTATTTTTAGCTTGGTTTAATTTTACAGTGTGTTTGGCGATCAACAGTTTAATCCCCCCATAGCTTTTCTCTTCTTTTCTCTCATCTCTGCCCCTTCTCTCTCTCCTTCCCTCTTTCTCTCTTCTACCTCTTGCCCCCTCCTTCCCCTCTTCTGCATTGTCTCCCCTCTCCCTCGATCTTCTTTTTTTCTCTATCTTTCCTTTTACTCTCTCCTTTCCTGTCCCCTGCCCCCTTTATTTTTTTCCTCTTGTTTACTAAATGTGCTGCTCCATAACTGTCTTTTCCTAGTAACTGTCCAGTTTTGGGGGTCAGCATGAGCCTGGTGGATGTTTACTTTTTTGTGTGTTACATTTGCCTCTGTCTGTTTCCCTACCTGCTCCACTTTTTTGTCCTACCTATCCCACACTCTTTGCCTGTCTGTCACTGTCTTCCTCTCTCTTTGTATTTGCCGCTTCCTCCCCCCCCCCCCCCTCCCATACCTCCATTTGGCCTAGCAAGGTTATGTTTGACCAGTGCAGAATATTTCATGTCCAACACTCCTCTCCCTCCCCCACACACAAACACATATGAAGTATATGTTTAATTTTAGAAACATATTTGTCATCCCTTCACTTTTTCCTCCCAAATTGATGACATCTGGGATGGCCGCACCCCCTTCCTGCTATCTTCTTTCCTCTATATCTCATCTTAATTCTTGTTCTCCTTTCTTTCTTCCCCTTAGTCCCGACTTTCTTTCCTTAATCATATCCAGTCCCTCTAGAACCTCTGTATTTGTTTTTGTTTCCATAAAGATACAGATGAAAGAACAATAAGCAGACTGTGAATAATGCATTATTGCTAAAGTTCCTAATCTGTGCCCTGTGGAGTACTGAGACCTCTTTTCAACCCCTGAATTAGAGATTAGCAGAGGTGATAGACATAATTTATCATTGTTAAGCTCCTAAACACTCCTTTTTCTGGTGCTCCCATGTCTAATCCCTCATTGTGTGCTACCGGTGCTACAGAGTCTGTGCATTGTGCTGTGCTTCTTCGGACTCTAATTTGAATTAGAAGAACGGAGCACTTACAGGTTACTACCCATGTGCCATGCTGTTGATCCATTGTTTTAAACCTCAAAACCTTTGTGTGTCATAACACGATCACTCTCCTACGTTTTTATTTTCAATTTTCCCATCCAAGATTGCAGTCTGTAGGGTTAACATCTCAAGGATGAGAAGCACACTGGTAAAAGGTCCTGGAAACCTTCTTCAACAATATAAGGTTATGCTTTTGTGAGGGAAATGAGCAGGCAGATAGATGGCCGGTTCTGCATTATTGAGTGGTAAACTGACATGTGATAAGCTAGATCACGGCCATCTTTAGATATAAATAGGCCAACTGGGTCAACGCGGATTCCCGTTCTTGTGCAAGAATTGAGTCCTTCTGTGTTAACAGTTTTTATCGAGGAGATGTATACACAAATTAAACTACAGTTTCATTAATTTTCTACATATTTTATAGAACTATACGTCATTTTTAAGGTAAATAAGTGTGCCGAATAAATATAACAATAAAGGCTCTTACAGACAAACAAAAATGCTTTTGCTACAGTCAACATGAACATAAACATCAAAAACGTTTAGATGAAAACTAAAAGTTGTTCCAGCAAAAGTAAAGAAATATCAGTGCTAACTCTTTGATTCAGAGAGGGTATCGTTGCATCGGAGGGGAAGGGGGGGGGGGGGGGGGGGGTGACATTTGTACTTTATCAAATTTAGCGCATACAAATACTGCTATGAAACTATGAAACATACACATATCATACATAACATAAATATAAATAATTGATGGTTTTTATTATTATTAGTAGACTACTACAACATATAATTATACTGTTATTTAATAATTAGTAAACAAGCACAATCAGTATGAAATTGATATGTGCAATCATTTTTTCACCCAGAGTAGTTTTCTTAACAGTACTTATAGCACTACTAAATATGTATCCTCAAGGTACAAACAGCACGAACAAATTTGTCCAGTTTCATCGTGTTGGATAAAATCAATTCCTTACCATTGCGAATTAATTGGTAACAAATATGTATAGGAAGTGGATGAACAACCAGAAGTTTCCGCAAGAGTTTACAGCCAGTGTTCGCGAAGCAAAGCAAAAGCCAGTTTACAGAAATTAACAGACTATAGAGCTGCAAATATGCAAAAGAAGTCGATGAACTACCAGAAGTTTCCGCAAGAGTTTACAGCCAGTGTTCGCGAAGCAAAGCAAAAACAAGTTTACAAAAATTAACACAGACCGTACAACTGCAAATATGCAAAAGAAGTCGATGAACTACGAGAAGTTTCCGCAAGAGTTTACAGCCAGTGTTCGCGAAGCAAAGCAAAAGCCAGTTTACAAAAATTAACAGACCGTACAACTGCAAACATGCAAAAGAGGACGATGAACTACCAGAAGTTTCCGCAAGAGTTTACAGCCAGTGTTCGCAAAGCAAAAGCCAATTTACAAAAATTAACAGACCGTAGAACTGCAAATATGCAAAAGAAGTCTATGAACTACCAGAAGTTTCCTCAAGAGTTTACAGCCAGTGTTCGCGAAGCAAAGCAAAAGCCAGTTTACAAAAATTAACAGACCGTACAACTGCAAACATGCAAAAGAAGTCGATGAACTACCAGAAGTTTCCGCAAGAGTTTACAGCCAGTGTTCGCAAAGCAAAGCAAAAGCCAGTTTACAAAAATTAACTAGAACTGCAAATATGCAAAAGAAGTCGATGAACTACCAGAAGTTTCCGCAAGAGTTTACAGCCAGTGTTTGCGAAGCAAAGCAAAAGCCAGTTTACAAAAATTAACAGCCC